GCTGGCCAGGTGGCATTTCAATGCTCGAACAGGCAGTAAAATTTACCACAAACTGACCCTTGGCCACCATGCGTATAATAAGGCCAAACACCTTCGGTCCCGATTTTCCAACCGGGAGCACGAATCCGAAACTAAAGGGTCCCACCTTTAGTCTCGGTTTCGCTCCCGGGACTAAATATTCACCTTTAGTCCCGCTTGGTAATACTAACCGGGGCAAAGAGGCCTCTCGGCCTGGCCACGTGGGCCGGCCCTTTAGTCCTGGTTGGTATTACCAACCGGGACTAATGGTTTTTTTTTTTCTATTTTCAATTGATGATTCGTTTTGGTTTTCGAATAGGTTTTCGAATACGCATTCTATGCTGCTAATAATATACGTATTTTACACGCTTATAATATATGTTTGAACATTTTGTACAAACTAAAGTATGAAACTAACGTATATATTACATGCATATACATATATTGTACGTTATTTTATGTACATATAATATGTATATATATATATATATATACATTGTATATTCTATTACAAATAAAGCTTGCATTGTATATTCTATCATATCCTTGGGATAACAAATTCACTCTATCTGGTTTGGCTTTCATGTTTCGTTCATGTCATTGTAGAACTCACCGACAGGGTTTAAGACCTGGTCATTAAAAAATCCTGCTATGGTCTCTTGAATTGCTTTCAGTTGGTCATGTCGTATGACTTTTTCCTTCAACCATAGAGTCTTTAATAAAAGTTAAAAGAAAAGTATTAATATTAATATATATATATGTGTGTGTGCACGCGCGCGCGTGTTGGTCACATGATTACTTATATATGTGAGCAATAAAAGAAATTGTGAATATATGAATATATTTATATAACGTACATTGAGGATCTTTTCAGGAGTTCTTTTTGCGTACGCCATGATGAACTCGCAAACATAGTATCCACAGTAGTTGTTCCCCTGTTCTTGCCTCAGAACCCATTTTTATAAGAAAAAAGATCCGGTGAATTGAAAGCATGCATGGTGTTAATTGAATTATATATATATAAATATAGCTAGTACTTATTTTGTGTGCGATTACATCTAGTGGCGCTTTGCAATGTTTCATGTGGTGTTCCTTAATGAAACTTTTTCAAACACTGCGCCCAATAAAATAAAAAAATTAATTTGGCCTTTAATAATTATTGCAGTTAAGAGATCAGGGTATATATAGTTGCTAGAGAGACCAAATCACCCTTGGATAATATCTATCATGCCTTGGTACTCTGTTTGCTCTTTTCTTAACGAGTCTAAGATGCTCAACCGACTACTGGCTATATCGATGACCATCAATATCCAGTGATTGCTGCATATGTTTTTATACACAAATATGACCGACATTAACTAGAGTCAACATATATATATATGGGAGATAGCTTAGCTAGTAAGCAAATAATTGAACAAATGTTCATATGATCGATATTAATTATTTAACACTCACTTGAAGTTGTAGGAGAAGAGTATGTCCTTGTTTTGTTGGTTCACTAAGAACCTCATGAGATTTTTCTCGAGTTCAACTTTCCATTCAGGAGGGGGAGTAGGGTGTTTGAATACGACATTTGGATCAACGAAACCAACATCATTATCCTTTCTCTTTCTGAGTTCTGTCATCTCATATCTATATATATAAAAATATAGTGTGAGGATATATAATTTATATATATACATGTAGCTTTATATATATACACTTTAATAGTAGAAAATAATCACACTTACAAACAATAGCAGCTAATGAGACTTTTGTCGAGAGAGTCCAAGTGACATAGTTGGTGTAATTCTAAAAACTCGACATATATAACGTCATCGCTACATAAGTAATGTTGGTTTCTAACTCTGACAGAAACAAAGGTCTCTCCCCGTTCACACGCCACCATGTACCACTTGTTTAGCAGGTACACTTGCGTACCCAGTTCACCGAAGGCCTCAGGGTTGTATAGACTCTTTTCATGTTCAAATTTCTTCCAAGGATCCACTTTCAGAGCAAATGGTCCTTCAGCGAGCACTTGGGCAAGGTCAAACCAATGTCCTCGTAAAACAGAACCAGGTCCTCAAAATCGACGTCCAGTAAGTCTAAGTTTGAACCATATTCATTACGAATGACAAGAGGGGGGACTGATTGTTGCGATTGTTGTCCGAGTTGTGCAACACCTTTCCCTGCTCTAGTCTTTTTCTGCGCCGCCTCAAATGACTTGGTGAGAGAGCGGTCGTAGTCCAATTTTGGCAGGGTCTTTTGAGATTCCCGCTTTTTCTGGTCCACCTTCTTTCTTAGAAGATCTAGAGGTAGGTAGAAGTACGGTTTCTCCGGGTTCTCCCTCGCTTCTCGTTGCTTTGTTACTTTTTCGAAGAAACTGCTCACATCTTTTTATACTGCAGCATTTAATTCCTTTTCACTTTTCTCGTAAGACAGTTTTTGGGGAATAACTGGATTAGAGGAGGCTTTCTTCTTTGCCAGCTGGTGGGCCAATGGCTTTGTTTGCGGGGCGGACCTCTTAGGAGCTCGCTGCTTCTTGGTCATGAAGAGAGGCGGGGCAGCTGTTGGAGACCTCCTTGGAGGCGTTGGAGACCTCCTTGGAGGTGGCGGCGGTGGCGGCGTTGCATAATCATTGCATCTAACTTCTCGTACTCCTCACCACGGTAGAGGATGCAGTCATTAGGACATGCATGTATCTTCTGGATTTCTAATCCCAAAGGGCAAACTACCTGTTTTGCTTCGTATGTAGTGGCGGGCAATTCGTTATCCTTCGGAAGCATCTTCTTTTGGATTTTCAGTAACTCCGCAAATCCCTTGTCAGATACACCATTCTTTGCCTTCCATTGCAGCAATTCTAGTGTGGTACCCAACTTTTTCTGCCCCGCATCACAAGTTGGGTATAGCAATTTCTTGTGATCCTCTAGCCTGCGCTCGAACTTGATCTTCTCCTTTTCACTTTCGCATTCTCTTTGTGCGTCATGAATGGTCTGACCAAGATCATCAACGGGCTCATCTTCTGCCCCTACCTCTTCTTCAGCTTCCCCCATTGCAGTATCATTGAAGGCACCATATTCAGCAATTATGTCATCATCATCACATTGTTCTTCTTCACCTTCTTCCATTATAACCCCGGTTTCTCCGTGCTTCGTCCAACAAATATAGTTTGACATGAAACCCGACTTCAACAAGTGTGAATGAAGACTCCTTGAGCTAGCACATTCCTTCAAATTCTTACATATGGCACATGGACAGCACATGAAACCATCACGTTTGTTTGCCTCGGCCACACGTAAGAAAGAATGTACGCCCTCAATGAACTCTTGGGAGCGGCGATCAGCATTGTACATCCAATGCCGGCTCATCTGCATTACATGACATGCATACCATATTAAAACCTAGAACATAATTAGTTAATTATACGACATGCATGCCATCACACAAGGTATTAATTTATGAAAGTCTCGCTACAATGTAGACAATCCCAACTATCACTAAAAAACTAAAGCTAAAATATACTTCAGCAGCATAAGGATTTCGCGATCAATCCTAACTAAAACAGATAGATCATGTGTTTGTTCAACATCTATGGGCTTCTTCCGCAGGATCACTGCCTCATCAGCCGCTGTAGCCGCCTGTGCAAGAGAGTTTTGCACGTGTTCAACATACTCTTTCTCCCAGTACCAGCCTGAACATCCAGTGCCATCCCACTGAAATTAAAACAAAAAATTAGAACTTTAATCACACTCATCATAAAAATAAGTATAAATTAACCATAATCATCAAATACGACAAAATAACTCACATTGCGATCCGGACACTTGTAGAAGATACAGCCCTTGTTGGGACACTTCTTCCTCACCCGGTACTCCATCACAATCTTCTCCTCACACTTACTGCATGCAATGAGAGTGAGGTCCGGCCTCAGTCGCTTTGGAACCCGATGAGAGGCCGAGGACCCGAAAGCAGTTGCCATCTACTCTCTATACTCATTTTTAATATAATATAAATTTCTCATTTTATAAACAAATAAAATTAAAAAAAACTCTAAAATTCTCTATATGTCTAAACCATGAAGTGTGCTATGCATGCTAGAAATGAAAGCTGAATACTAGTTTTGAATAACTACTTTAACCTTCCTTCATCCAAATATGCAAATTTAAAGTGATTTTGAGCTTAAATGGCTTACAAATAAAAAAATTCCACCATAAAAAACCACATATATCTAGTCCACAAAATGAGATATGCTACTGATAAAACATGAAAGTATAAAGTTGGTAACCTTTACAATCAAAGAATCGATTGAGGAATCAAAGAAAATCTTGTGATTACCGGCGATGAAGCAAGAACGCTGAGCTCGAAGTGGGTCGGGCTCGGGGAGGAAGAAGGGGTATATAGGAGGGGACCTTGAGTCCCGGTTGGAGACAGCAACCGGGACTAAAGGTCCCTTTCTAGTCCCGGACGGAGCCTCCAGCCGGGAGTAGACTTTTACTCCCGGCTGGAGGGACCAACCAGGAGTAAAAGTTAACCTTAAGTCCCGGTTGATACCTCCAACCGGGACTAAAGGTCTCCTGCAACAAAAGCCTGCCGCAGTAGCCGTTGGGCATGGGCCTTTAGTCCCGGTTGGAGCTACAAACCGGAACTAAATATCTCTCTAATCTCGGGCACGAAAAATACCGGGACTAAAGCTAAATTTCAAAGTGGATCAAAAGTTGTTTCTCTATTAGTGTCTCTCAGTGTAAACACCTACAGCATGCAAAGCTGCAATTTTCTATAGGAACAAATAACGTGTCGATATTGATCTATCTCTCTCCCAGTTTTGTAAGATCTCCAGGGCCTCTTGTATTTAAGCCACATGAACCTTAGTTGCAGATCCTCACAGCTCACAAGGGCCGCTTAATTAGCAGAGCTGCAGCAGATAGTAAGCAACTGTCACGTCAGCTAAACGAGGAAGACAAGGCAGAAGCTGCTGGTGTATCTGCATATCTCAGCGTATGCCAATGGCTTCTCATGCTGTCCTCCCCCTTCCTTGGCTTGCCTGTATGGTTGCAGTAGCCTTGTTGGCGTCGCCGTCGCCGGCAGCGGCGTCACGTGCCGCAAGGGCCCCTGTCCGCGGTGGCGACCCGACGGTGGGGTTCACGGAGGTGAGCCTGACTGAGGGCAACTTCGAGCTGCAGCACCCCTACGACCTGCCGAGTGGCGACCGGTACAGCTTCCACGGCGACGTCCGGCAGCTGTGGGTGCTGTCCTCCGACAAGCCCCACAGTCCCAATAGCCACACCAGCCCCAGAACGGAGATCAGGATGAGGGTATAAAATTCATAGATGATGACCTCTAATCACCTACTCTTGTCGTGTAGATTAGCACTGCACAGCACAAGAAGATTTGATTGTTGGGTGTTTTTATTTGTTTCTACGTACTTTCTAGGGCTACGGCTACTCTTCTGGGGTGTGGCAGTTCGAGGGCTACGGCTACGTGCCCTCCGGCACGACGGGGGTGTCCATCATGCAGGTGTTCGGCGGCGCCAGCGGCCACGCCACGACGCTGATGCTGCACGTCTACGACGGTGCGCTGCGGTACTACCACCGGCAGGTGGTGGAGGACGGCATCTACGACCGGTGGTTCCGGCTCAACGTGGTGCACGACGTGGGCGCGTCCACGCTCACCGTGTACATCGACGGCGTCGAGAAGCTGCGGGCACCGGGACATGGCGGCGACTCGCACTTCTTCAAGTTCGGCGTGTACGCGCAGAGGAACGCCTCCAGCTGCATGGAGTCGCACTGGAAGAACATCAAGATCTTTAGGAAAGATTAGTTATTATTGATGGTTTCGTTATTCGAGAGCCGCCAGCAGGGTTCCTTATTTATGCGACAGCTTATATACATGGTGAGTGTTCTTGTTGGGAGTATGCATTTGCGTCCGCATGTTTAGTGCATGCTTGTATGTATCATACTACTTATCAAAAAAAAGTATCAAACTATATCTTTGTGTATATATATGGTTTATGCATGATTATATATATATATATATATATATATATATATATATGTTATTCTTGTCGTTTGGATCCATTACTCTAAATTTTAGATCTCTACCACTACTACACAATTATGCTAAACTGCTGCAACAAACTCAGACTCAAAATTCAAATTTAAAATTCTTAAGTTACTATTCATGGCACTATTCAAATACAACGGTTACTAATTAAATTCGTGGCACTATTCAAAATACTCACAACTATTCAAATTCGAAATATGAACAGTGCACGAGCACTCACGGAAGAGTGGCTCAGGCACCTAATCTCACTATGCAGGCACTATTTGGAGCACTTTGTCTTTACTTTATGGATGGTGGATGATGCGTGCGTGATTAGTGAATATGCGTGATTAGTGAATACCGCACTCTCATGCTGTGCATAGTAACTCGAGAATTTTAAATTTGAATAGTGCCACGAATTTGAATTTGAATAGTACTATGCATAGTAACTCGAGAATTTTAAATTTGAATTTTGAGTTTGAGTTTGTTGCAGCAGTTTAGCATAATTGAGATACTTTCACAGCACTATTCAAATTCTGTGGTTACTATTCAAAGTCGTGGCACTATTTAAAATGCTCGCTACTATTTAAATTCGGAATATGAACATTGCACGAGCACTCACGGGTGAGTTGCTCATGCACCTAATTTTCTCACTATTCAAGCACTAACTTTCTCACTATGCAGGCACTATTTGAAGCACTTTGTCTTTGCTTTATAGATGGTGGATGCAGGATGCGTGCCTGATTAGTGAATATGCGTGATTAGTGAATACCGCACTCTCATGCACCACCAACACATCCACTGAAGACACCACTCCACCACCCCACTTTCCCACATACACTATGAAGACCACGATCTCAGAAGTCCTCTGAAGATCATCCACAACCTATAGTAATCCTCCACTACCATTGTATTATTCCACCACCTCTGTAAATTAGAGAACAAAGGAAGTCCCTTGATCTTCCTGCGCTTGTAAGGTAATCCCTAAGGTTTGTGCTAAGTGTTTGGGGATTCTCAAAAGGGAAAGCCGTATGTAAGCTTGCTCTATGAAAATGAATTAAGTTTTCTTGTTTTAATCCCTACGTTCCTTTAAGCTCGTTCATATGGGGCGATGTCTCTATGCTAGGGACCCTAGAGGAGAAACATATGCGTGTGTTGTTCTCGCGTTAGCCCTTGTAGCGGCGTTTGTAGAGAACCCTATGTGCGCAGAGAAGTGTTCCCTTTAGGTGAAACTGCCTGGGGAGATGATAGAGCCTGAGTCCTGTGTGTGCGTGGCTAGGGATAGCGAGGGAGAATATCGGGTTAGCCTGGTTCTGAAGCGAGCAAGTGATGCATACGATGAGTACCGAGTAGGACTGACATAAGCATAGTCGCACGACCGACTGAAATGTTGGTCTCGCCCGCCTGCAAAAGATCCTGCGAAATACACGCATACCCATAATTCGCATATTCACTAATCACGCACGCATCCTGCATCCACCATCCATAAAGCAAAGACAAAGTGCTCCAAATAGTGCCGCATAGTGAGAAAGTTAGTGCTTGAGTAGTGAGAAAGTTAGGCGCCTGAGCCACTCACCCGTGAGTGCGTGCACTGTTCATATTCCGAATTTCAATAGTAGTGAGTATTTTGAATAGTGCCACGAATTTGAATAGTAACCGTTGAATTTGAATAATGCTGTGTATAGTAACTCGAGAATTTTAAATTTGAATTTTGAGTTTGAGTTTGTTGCAGCAGTCCCAATTGTGCTAAACTGCTTTCATAAGGAGAAATGTGTTGATATTCTGGCCGCTTCTTTCTTTATTATAGGCTGCACTTATTTGACTTGGTCACACAGCCTCTCCCGTCTAGAAGACAACTTCCTTAATTTCTCTCCTCTTGTTCCCATGTATGCTGCTTTCTGCCCTTTCCTGATTACCAGCAGACCAACGGCAGCCGGTCTCCATGCGCTAGACGTGTGCTCTAGTCGGCACTTGAGCTGTTGGGGCTTCGGTTCGACAATCAGATCAATCCGTGATGCACTGGGACTAGTCGACGATGATTTGATGTGCTCGGGCCAGTCTTAGTCGGACCAATTGGCAACCCGTGATACACTCTGTCGGCTTTATGAACCCGGGTTCCTTGTGGACCAGCTTCTCAGCAAAGGCTCGGCCTAGTAGACGACGTTACGAACGACGCGCAACTCCGGGGCCGGCCCAAAACTACCTGAAACGACAGGCTAGAAGAGCGATCCGGTCTCCGACCGGAAGGCCTGGCCAAGAAGAAACAACACTCGCTTCCAACTCCGGCCCGCCTCTCCGACCGGAAGGTCTCACTTCTGACTCCGGCCCGCCACTCCGACCGGAAGGCCTGGCCGAAGAGGAACAACGCTCGCTTCCGACTCCGGCCCGCTTCTCCGACCGAAAGGCCTGGCCAAACGTCGCTTCCGACTCCGACCCACGTCTTCGACCGGGATTGCACCGAACCTTTGCTTACTGCTCTTCTCTGACTGGCGCAATTGGAGCCGACTGGGACCGACCGACCGGGGACGCCCACTTGGTGAGGACTAGAAAATGGGCGGAGCAAGTAAAGCAGGACGCTCAAGTCATCCGCAATACCAAGGATCATACCCTGTACACCTGTAGGACAGTACTGACAGGGCATGGCAGAAGGGCACCCTGCAACCTTTTAGGCATGTCAGAACCCAAGCAATGTTGTGTGCGCCGATGTTTTTGCCCTACAGTGTTATGGGCGCCATCAATTCCTATACCAGGCGAACACGGTAAGACTCTCCACATGCCTCTAGGCATCAACAGTGTTGTGGGCGCCATCCTTTACCGTACATAGTGAATACGGTAAAATCTCCTACATGCGTCTGATAATAACAGTGTTGTGGACGCCTACCATCATCTTGTACCCGACGTCATGGGCGACAAGACTCAGCAGCATACATACTCTCTCTTTCTCTCTCTCTTGTAAGGCCGTCCCCTTTATCTATAAAAGGGGACGCGCTCTCTCTCAATAAGGACAATTCAACACACAACAACAGAACCACCAGGTTCAAGCCTCGAGCACATGCTCGAATACTCAGCGCACGTAGGAGCTCTTGTCACTCTCGGCCCTTCAGACCGGAGTCCGACCGGACCTCTTGCACCCCCTATCTTTCTCCTTCTCGTTTGTAACCCCACTGCAAACTTCGAGCACCTGGGCTCTGGAATAAAGTCACCGACCGACTCAAACTGGATATATGGCACGTTGTCTGTACCAGTATAAACCCTGTGTCATTGAGTGCTAGGCCACATCCGATCATAATGTACGGCAAAACTACAGTGTTCGTCACTTTTTGCACCGACAGTTGGCGACGTCCGTGGGGAAGACGCCGCACATGCACACTTTTGGTCATCGGATGGCCCACTTTTCCGCCATCTTCGCCGTGGCGGGCTCAAGCAATATGACTCGCTTTGGCTCACTAGAGTTTCCCGCACTCCCACCCGTTGGGATGTGGGTTCCACCCGTCTTCGAGCCATCCCAGGCCTTCCTCTTCGGCAGCCTGGACTTCGTCGCCGACCAGCTCGGCGTGCTGCACCTCCGCGAGGAGGCACCCATCTCGGCGCCCGTCGGAGGGGCGCCCTCCGTCGGCTCCGGGACTCCCAGCAACTTCAATGACGAGGCGCCTACACGTCGTTCCGAGCATACGCTCTTCTCAAACCCCGCTGTGAGTAATGTACATACTATTATTTACTCGCTATTTACTATTTTCCACCAATTATCCGGAGGAACCCCGTTGCCCATGCCGCGACCGCCATGCGATTGGTTCCCCTACGGCCTCGCGTCCCCCGCGGATGCATACGCTCGGGGGCTCTAAAGGATGCTAGCACCGTCTCCTCTCACATCTGAATTCATGGGAATGGCAAGCTATGCTCCCACCACTTTCCACGAGCTCCTGGATGACGAGGTTGAGACCGACGGCTCCAGCATCGGTGATGTGGCACCTAGCCACCGTCCGTCCTAGGAGTGTGCTATGGCGGACGCTCTAGGACAGCCGCCGGTGGTAGTAGAGTCCTTGCAGACTCACACCCCTCTAGACCCTCGGGCGGGGGCCCTCGCGCTCACACAAGAGCATGGCGAGGAGCTACGACAATGGTGGCAAAATCAGCCGCCACCTCCATCGGCGCGCTCGGTGCAGCACGTTGCGCCCCATGCGTGTAACCCAGCAAGCGACGCTTAGGGTCGCTCCCGTCAGGTTCAGCGCAACATCATCGATGGGGGGAACGATCCCCCACAGTTCGCTTGGGCTAGCCAGAACATCACCACGACGACGATGCTTCTGCGTGGCCTTCCCGAGACGGACAACCCCCAGGAACAGGCGATCCACCGAAACCTCTGGGCACTAGTGGAGACCGCCGCCGTTCAACAGGCGGAGAGCTCCGCATCACGACACCGACTCGTGGCCTCTCTCCCCACTAGGGGAGTGGGGACACAATAGATGAATCGCTCCATCCGCTCACCGCTATAGACGCCAAGCGTGGCACAGGAGGCCGTAGCTGTGCCCTAGCCTGACCTAGCACCTGTTACGCACCGGTCGCTTGTGCGCAAGTGGCTCGGGCTGAACCAAGACGCTCGCAGCAGCATCAGCAACCGACGTCGGGCCCGGCATGATGACGACGTCCATCGGGCGGCCATGTGGGTAGGCGACATAGACCCCGGTCGAACTACCACGGGAAGCGGTGAAACGCATCCTAGGCATGGTCACCGGCCAGACAACCGGAGTCCCAGCCCGAATGGCCCGGGGCCACGGGCC